TCCCCAGCTGTAACTACTGCCTCAAAGGTCATTTCCTCTAACCTATCAACACTTGGTATGGTCCAGGTTGTCTCCCACAGCCATGCATCATGCATGTCTCGTCTAACCCGTTTTGTAATGTGTTTTCTAATTATCATGGTTGATGTGTTATAAGTCTGATGTGGGATATCTGGTATGGGCCCTAGCACTGTCTGGATGGTTGTGTTTGTTTTTGCATCATACTCATCTGAGTCATTGTGAGTGGCTCCTTTTGTGTCCTGTTGCTCTTTTTCCAGCGTCCTGCAGTCGCTTGGATCTTCGTGGCCCTGGCAGGGGCTGGTCGGCACTGGCTTCATCTGTCCCAGATTGCCTAGTGATATCAGCAGGACAGTGCTTATCACTATTTTGCACCACATAATCTTTTTCCTCATATTTCCCTATCAGTTTTATACTGCCCTTTTTGTCTTTTGGAACTTTTGTGCAGTGATTTAGATGATACCACGTTTTACTTCCTTCCACCTGGACGGCCGTTGGTGTTGCTCTTACAACAGTGTACGGTCCTTCTCGTCTGGGCTCGTGCCACTTTCGTCGGAAGACTTTCACGTACACCTGATCTCCTGGCACCACCGGTCGGACTGGATCCTGGTCCTGGTTGGCCTTTTTGGCTTTTTCCTGCAAATATATAGATCTATGGATAGCAGTTAGTTGTTTCATATATGCTTTTAGCTCGTCTTGAAATTGCTCAAGCGACGGCCCTTTATACGGACCTCTTAGTTGTGGTGCAGGCATAGGTCTACCAGTGAGCATTTCATGCGGTGTTAAATGTGTAGTTCTGTGAGTCCGCATGCTCATCAAGGCTATTGGCAAAGCGTCAACCCAGTTCAGTTTAGTAGAAGAACATATCTTATTCAGTTTTGCTTTCAAGGTACCGTTGATTCTCTCGACCATTCCTTGACTTTGTGGATGATAGACAGCTCCCAATCTTTGAAAGAATGCTTTACCATTGTCAGAGCTGATTTCTGATGGAATAACAAATCGTGGAATGACTTCCCTGATTAGGAATTTGGTGACAGTTCCTGCTCCTAGATCTTTTGATGGGGTTGCTTCCACCCATCTGCTGAACCTGTCAATGACTACTAACATGTACCTTTTTCCATGAACTGATTTTATCATGTAAACATAATCAATCACTAGGTGTTTGAATGGACCTTCTGGAACTGGAATGAGCCCATTTCTCAGAAATTTTCGTAATATCTTTCAACAGTTTTGGGTTTTTGGTTCGGACTAGGGCTGTTGGTAGGATACTCATTCTAAAACTAGCAGCTTTAATCTCAACTGTTGGTAAAAAAAAATTATTCCTCTGTGCAGGACTTCAGAGTGAGCACGAGGGAAGGGGTGCTATTTTTAACTTTGTGGTTTGTGCACTTTTCTGGGCAGTTTGCCAAACTATGAGTCAACAGTACTACAATGTCCAAAACACGCCTTACTTATTCCCACTGGTCATTCACACCAATCACTCTTGACTAGGCGGGACCTAGGGACGTTCCCGTTGGTCGTTCACGCCTTGTCTCTTAACCTTTTACTTTACTTTTAACTCTTCCAACTCTGATTCTCTATTTTCCAAACTGCGCCACACCAGTTCTCCCTATCTATGCCACAGAAAAATCTGCCACACCCTATTTATTCACTTCCACTAGTCTCTTTCGAAACATTCAACACTTCTTTCGTACCCACACGCTTACTTCCAATTTGCAATTTATACACACATTTACATACGTTTTACATACATTTGGTATTTGAATTGCAGTAATATTTCAACACAGATATTTTCACTTTATTTTGTTTAGGAATCAACGGGACCCATCAAGCTTTGTGTACTACGCACTTTTAATAGCTTTCATCCAGCGCTTCACTCTCTCACACTCACACACATAGGTTTTCACACACCCACCATCAGTCTGAGTCAGGGGATGATTTTATATAAACATTTTCTTTTCTTTATTTTCTTTTCCTTGTTATCAGGGTTTTTTCTTAACCCTTTAGTTTGTTCAGGAGATTTTATGGGACTTTATATTATCTTTTCCTAGAACAGATAATTTACTAAGGATTGGAGATACTGGCTGATCAGGCCTGTACCTCCAGTTGTGACCTAAAATTTTTCTCCTATGTGAACTTTTGTAAGTTGGAATTTAGCAAGGTCTATAATTCACTTTTAGCTATGAGTTATACACAGTTATTATAATTGCTCTAACTTATGTCTCTGTAAAGGTCGCCCCACACTAGGGCTGAGGATCTGACTGATTCGGGTGAAAATTGAACTCGTATGTCTTAGTTCTGTGCACTGACACTAAACACTTCTGATGAGTTCAGTTCACTTCTTGACTAGTGGATGAGACGCAACTCCCTTCCATATATATATTTAATTTTAAGTGAGTACAGTTGGGTTGGGGTTTCCCATTAACAGCGGAGGTTTTCCTAGTTAAGGGTATTGCCGCCCAAACAACTTCACCATGGCATCCGATTTACTGCATAGCACACGGCTGCTCTTCCGTATAGTAGTTCCTCAGCCTGCGGATATCTCACGCACACACAACCAGGGGGCTCCTGGCACCGGCTTTTCACATAAATACAGCGCTTCACAAAATCCAGCTCACAGCTCGAGCAACTCCGGCTCCGTTCTGTGTTTTTGAACAGCTTTAACTTTTCTACATACAACAGGGACCCAACTTGTCCCTCCTTTTTTCCTCTAAAGAGGTGAATCAAAACAGAATCAGTTGTCCGAGGATCATATCTCATTTGTACTTTGGCCATTTAAGAAAATGCTTTTTGGCATCAAGACTATGTGTATGATTGTGTGTGTGTGGTGACGCTCACTATTTCCCAACATCTGGCTGATGTTCCCGGGTCTATTCCAAGTTGTGATGTTCTGGCTTTTTCACTCCTAATTTTCCTACATATCCTGTCGTTGTTCCTGGCTCTGTTCCAGGTCATGATGACCTGGCTCAAGTCTTGGTGACCGGACTCTCACCCTTCCAATGGTACTCTAAACAGGAGAGGTCATAATGGAATTCTCCTACACTGACAGCAGCAGTTCTGCAGCAGCCACAAGCATGGGAGACGCAGTCGTCACGCATTGGAGACGCCACATGCTGCTCAGGCATCCTATGTAAACAGGGTGTAACTGCTGTAATTTTGACCAAACTAGCATTGGTGATTTTTGGAAAGATTGTGGAATCATTAACAAAGACTGTTTTGGTGAGTTTTATTCTGTTTCTGTCCATTTTGAATGAAGTTACAATAGTACAATGACATGTACAGTAAAATTACCCTTTTTTTCTATGGAGTCTGGTGGTGAACGATAGGGATATTACACTGATCTGTTATAACATTATGAGCACTGACTGAAGTGAATAGGTGGGATATATCAGGCAGCAAGTGCACATTTTGTATTCAAAGTTGATGTGTTAGAAGCAGGAAAAATAGGCAGCGTGAGGGTTTGAGTGACTTTGACAAGGGCCACATTGTGATGGCATCTCCAAACCTGCAGCTCTTGTGGGGTGTTCCCGGTCTGCAGAGGTCAGTACCTATCAAAAGTGGACAAAGGAAGGAAAAGCGGTGAACCGGAGACAGGGTCAAGGGTCGTGGGGAGTGAAGGCTGGCCCGATTGGTCAGAATGTTATGGTGGATCGGTGTATAACCTTTAATTATCTATACCTCTTATCCTGTGCAGGTCATGGGGAACGAGTAGCGTGACATATGGATGAAAATATTAATATAAATGTGCTTTGAGTGTATAGATTTTACACTTTTACATTTTCAAACCATTTTTTACTTAAATAATTCAAAATGAGAAATTTGCCTCATATGGCAATGTGTGCCACATACAACACCCCTCTATCCTCAGACCCCCCCCTCGACGATCGACTTGAAGTAGCTGCAGTCTGGTCGTTGATGCTTTGGTTTGCGGGAGAGTTGGAGATTTGATGATGTGAGCCTTAAAATAGCTGTGAAGATGTTCCCCAGGTGCCCTTCTAAATAAAATGCTGCCTAGCCTGCGATGAGCATATCACTCCTGTATGGCAGCGAGTGATGAATGCTTGGTGTGGCTCCGAGTTAACCAAGTTCATATTGGGACACTCCCTGGAGCATTGCCATCAATCAAAGCCTCTCCCAGGAGCTGTCAAGAGATTTTTTTTGTCTTCCTTCTCCCGCTAACATGCGTGCAGTTGGGCCACAACAATCGCAATATCCGGCCCACCTCATTTGCTCCCATCACAGAGGCGGCTCAGGCTGTTACTGATTTCCCTCTCGACGCCCCTGGGCAGTATATTCAACATGCACTCCACTCTCCAGCCTCCCTTCAACCACTTACTTATTCATCACAGACTCACCAAGGAAGCTGCTTAGCTGACAGACACCAGATTCGTATAAAGAGAAGGAGACAGACAGACAGAGGTGTATGACTCTGCTCAGTAATGGGGGACACTGTCAGGATGAATTCAGTTTTGCCGGGAGTCAAAGCGGTGGACAAATTTGGCTAAAGCACTGCGATTGAATGAGAGGGGAAAAGAAAAAAAAGGGAGGGAAGCATTTTCACTTTCATTAGCCAGCCTGTCCCTTTGGGCTTAAACACATAGAGCTCAGTGCATGAACTCTCCCCCCCTTACACACACACACTCATACACACCCTCTCTGTTTCTCAGCCTCCTTTATCCTCCCTCCCTGGCACTCTCTCCCTCCACTTTCACTCCTCTTTCATCCCACCACTCTCATCTTCCTCTCCATCCTCTCTTCTCTCGCTCACATCCAGGTTTGTCTTCCTCTGCCTACTCTCTCTCCATCTTCTCTTCCTACCTCCCTCTCCCTCTCCCTCTCCCTCTCCTCGGTGCGCATCATGGCAGCGCTCACCTCCTTCCCTCTCCTCCTCCTCCTCTGCGGGTTTCCGCCAATCGCTGCCGAGAGGGGTGTGGCTTCAAGACAGGAGGATGGACAGAGCTTGTTGAGGAGAGAGAGAGAGAGAGAGAGAGAGAGAGAGGAGAGGGGAGCGCTGGTGAAAAGAGACGCTTTCCTGAGCTACTTGGAGAAACAGCACCAGGCTTGACACTGAGTGATGACCGTGGCGCAGAGAGACTCAGCAGACCGGGAATAAAAACGCGGAATAAAACACACACACACACACACACACACACACACGCACAGGGGAGGAGGGTGCTCGGTTTGTGGATACCTGCGCGTCTCCGCTCCGGCCGCAGGTGCGCTACAATCCCCGTGAAAGGAGACTTTTTTTCTGGTCCGGAGAGGGAAGTGAGAGAGGAAGATATCTGTAGGATTATTTCTCCTTTCCGGTCTCATCTGTGTCTCACTCATTCTGAAAGCAAACTTTCTCAGCCCTCTGCAGCGTCCGCAACCGCATTTCAACTCCAGGTCTGAGGCAAGATCTGAAATAGGAGGTTTTTAAATTCGTGGACTGTTCACTTAGACTGCTTGTGAACGCGGATTACACCGGACACCGTCTCCAATCAGAGAGGAGCATTCCTCAGAACTCCAAACTTGTGTCTTGTGACGCCAAGCGGAGTCTTTCCATCTCATCGGTGTTTTTTTTTCTCTTAATGTGCTGATGAAGAGGACAATGTCTGGATTATTACTGCTCAGCCTGCCCCGGGGAAGAGGGGAAGAGTGAGGGAAGCAGACAGAGAAGGAGTGTAAAGAGGAGGAAGAGGAGGAGAAGAAGAAGAAGAAGAAGAAGAAGGAGGGAAGTCGGTGGCGTTTGGCTGCCGTCTACTAGTTCGTTCGCGCCTTTGCCGCTCGGGCTCTCCCACCTCTTTTTTTACTGGATACACGGACACACATCAAGAGACGCACGGGGAGGACCTGCGTTCACACCCTGGGTGAGTTTGCGCGCGCGCGTGTGTGTGTGTGTGTGTGTGTGTTTGTGTACACGCAGTGGGAATAAAAAAAAAAAAAAACAGGGGATAGAAGAGCTGTGCGTTTTCGTGCCAGGCGCGTGTTTTACGCGCAGCGCACCCGCCGGGGTTTGATACGCACACGCGTGTATTGCGGGTCCGGATGGTCATGGTCGTGACGCATGATCGATCAGCAGAGGGTGAGGAAGGAGAGCTGGGAATCTGAATTTAGGTGAACCAGATCGGAGGCTGGTCTGGCCGTTTCCTCATCAACAGCAAGGTCGGCAGCAGGAGGGTGCTCCTTCTTTGGCGTCAATATTGGAGCGCAAAAATGAATGCTGTGCAAAGAGGGCGCACGTGCAAATAAATATCAGAGGTCACCCATGGGTCCTGAGACGTCAGCCGTGCCTTTCCATACAGTTTTTACAGTGTTATTCATACAAAGGTGTCTGATTTGATCATTCTGAATACCTGTGTTGATGCTGTCATGCAGCCTTGCAGTCTGGCCATGCATGTGTGTGTGTGTGTGTGTGTGTGTGTGTGTGTGTGTGTGTGTGTGTGAGTGCTAAATTGTTTTTGCATTTGCATACTATAACTTTGCAACACCTTGCATTTTCCTCTCTGTGTGTGTGAGGGTCTTTGTGTGTGTGTGTGTGTGTGTGTGTGTGTGTGTGTGTGCGCGCACGCACCACAATCCACTCCTGTCACATCATTTACACAGAAACTGGAGCTGCATCTGACTTGTCCTTCAACCTCTGCTTTGCTTTATCTTACCAACGTGTGTGTGGCTCTCTCTCTCGAACCAATGAATGCCTTCCTGCATGCCTGCCTCTCTCCTCTCTGTGTCTCTCTCTCTCTCTCTGCCTGTGTGTGTGTGTGTGTGTGTGAGATATTGTTGCCCCATCAGTCACCCTGAATGCCTGCTACGCACCGCACAATTTCTCACAAATTCTCTGAACCATGTAAGCACAACATTTACCTGTCAGCTACTTTGTCGAGACTACCGTATCTGGCCGTAAGAAACCCTCTGAGAAGAGAACTGCTGCCTCCGATTTACACTTAACACCCACTGCCACCGCCAGAGACCCGGGGTGGGAGAGGGGTCCTGTCAAAAACATCATGGAGGAGGGAGAAGGAGAGAAAAAAATCCAACTCGAATCACTACACACACCCACACAGACCTGGAGAATGCATTCGACAGCTCTTTCCATCCTCTTGGCATACGTGTAAATGGAAGTGAGACTCGCTGACAGTGTGGACGTTTGCATCACATACTCTGGCACTGTGAGTGTATAAATGAAAGGCTGAGTGCATGGCACACAGAGCTCTAATGACATATTTTAAACCGGCGGTGTGAGCGTACATCCGTGCCGACACAATGACTGGGAGGACGTGGAAGGGGGTTATTGAACGCAGGAGCCACACCGATGAGTGTTTGGTGTGGAGTGCAGGAGTGTGCGTTACAGAGTGTGTTTAGGTGGGAGTGTGAAAGGAAAAGGAAAACTGTAAACTGCTGTCTTTTTTGTTGTTGTTGATGTCAATTTTATTTTGCTTTTGGCTAAAGCAAACTTTTCTATATCAAGCCTCTGCCGTCAAGGGCTGGGCGATATGGTTGAAATCAATATCACGATATTAAAAGGGTACTTCAGCGATTTAGTATTTCTCTTCCACAGTTGGGGGACTTGCAAGAGACGGGTTTAAAAGAAGAATGATTAAAATCGATGAAGAGGCCAAGACATCCTGACTTTTTCCTTCCTCCTATGTGTCAAACTCCAAAAATGCTGGATCCTACATTTCCCTAAAGTAACTATAGTAATAACTGCCTGGTTTTATTTGACCCCCTCTGCCTGGTAAATGTTCCTGAGCCTCCACTCTGTAACCCAGGCTTTCCATTAAAAATATGTAGTGTGCACACCTACAACCAGACATCCCGGAGATGTTACTTGATTCATTTTCCGTCTGTTGTGAGCCACAGAACACATGAGGACACGCCCTTTCCATTTGAATATTTGACACTACACCCAGTGTCTGAATTGGACAAAAAAAGGTGCCAGTCGTCTACTTCAGCACAACCCTAACCTTTTGTGTGTGTTTTTTTGCCTTTAATGGATAGTGACAGCTGAAGAGTGAAAGGAAAGGGGGGGGGAGAGAGTGAGAGGGGATGACACGCAGCAAAGGGCCACAAATGGGGCGCCAGCTCTACCAGGTGAGCTATCTGGGCGCCCCTTTTGTCCTTTTTATTAAGGATATTTTCAGTGCTGTGTTCTTAGTGATAAGCTAGTGGAAAAATACGGAGGCCCTTTGTGACCTCTGAGGTGAGGGTACTCATGTTGAGACGAATCAGAAGTGCCAGTACTCAGTAACGGTGAGTACTTTTCGGCACAGAGTACGCCACAATATGGCAACTATAGCCAAAGTTCCATTAAAAATAATAAAATGTTTCCATTGCAATTCCATTCCATTCCATTCCAAGTCTTTGTTAAACGTTTTTAAAGAAAATTGTTTCAATGTGATAATTTGATCAAATTATTTCAGTATTCTTGCACTTAAAGTTGATACCATATAATAATACAGAATTATAGGAAGAAAAACAAAAAACAGAGTATCCTTACACTGGATTATATTAGACTGAACAGGCTACTTGCTCTTCACCGTCAAATTACTAACTTGACAAAAAGGTACACTCTTTCAATAATTAGACACTCAAGTTATAGTTAGTAAGCTAAGTCAACAAAGAGTTGGAAAAACATATAAGTTACAAAAAGTGATACATAGAAAATGTTAAAGGATACAGCTGCTGATTTTCTCCAATCTAAAGACCCAAACAAACAAACAATGCATCTGCTAACAAGTATTGTGTTTATCAAAGCCTGATTCTATAAAACTATTAAAAACACATCAAACACCTACTGTAGCACTGGGTGACGTCTCCCTCCATTACCATAAACACCCACTGTAGTTTATTTTGACTCAATCCCACATACACCCTCCTGCTGCCAGTAACACTGAATGTATATTTATCCACTGCTGAAAATAGTCCCCAATAAATGCACTATTTCCGCCTATCTGAGTAAGGTTTGCTAAAAACTACAGTGCCCAGGTGTTTTAGAGGGAAAAAAAAGCCTTTTTAAAAACCATAAAACTTTATGTTGCTCTATAAATGCCACAGTGTAGTAAAGTTGTGTTGGTTTTAGTCTTTTGATGGGTTTGCTGACAAGAAGAAATAAAGAATAGTTATTGCTTATATTTAAGTATATTTAAAAGTATCTTTTAAATCCTGCTACAGCATAATAAAGCACCAGCGTACAACATTCAACAGACCCTACAGACTGGATAAAATAATGGGAAAGGGAGCTATGTGCCTTCAGAATGGAGAAAAAGTATTACAATTTTGGGATGATCAGCCACATCACAATGCTTGGAAATATTTTAGCAATTAAGACCTGTAGGAAAGGAACTTACAATTAGATTAGCTCACAGGAAAGGTTTATTAAAAAATCCTGTTTAAGACCAGAGATGGTGTAATGAGGAAATAAATCTAGAAAGTTTCCCATTGAAGAACTAATTTAGTTTTTTATACGTCATCTCTCATGGCCCTACCTGTCCTCTCAATACAAACCTATCTCGGTGCACTTACATCGTTCCTGGCATGTTTATTGAATTATCACCCCTCCCTACACGAGACCACAGATGGCATCAGACAACACTGAAGGCAACTCACTGAGATGATTTCTGACGTAGCTTTTGTTGCCGTTTGTTGTTTCGGTTCAGAATCATAAAGCAGTTAGTTTCTCGGCTGATAACCACAGTAAGTAGAACAAAGCCTTTCATCATCTTTATGCATTCTCTCTATGTAGTAAACATCTTGGCAACACGATGAAATAAGAGCAAAATTAAACCACTTCTCATTCCGCCCAGGACCCTGTGGAATCCATTTAAAGGCCCCATGTGGTCCCCGCTTTGTACTTTTGGAACTGTTAATAATAACCGTACGCTCCTCTGTATGGATTAGTTTATATGCTTATAGCATCCCACAGCTAACAGACGGGCCTCAGCAGACACATTTCATAGCTAACAACTCCAGATAAGACCTCTTAAAGATGTCAGGTTGATTATCCTCACTGATAAAGTATATATCTGAGGATATTTCTGGCTTTTTTCACTTAAAAATGTTTTCACTGCAAGGTGGCATGTGTGCTTTGCCTTTTTCTCTCCCAAAAACAAGGCGCCAGGTTTAATGAGTTTCCCTTTGAACCACAACTGAAAGGTGCAGAATTTCACCAAATGTACTGGATGCAGCTATGTTTTATGAAAATGTAACATATCGCTGCTTTGGTATTTTCCTCCAAAAAGAAGAAAAATCCTCATTCTCATTAGCTCTTATTTCTCCCACTTATCTTCCCTCACAGTGTCTCTTACACTATCATCCAAGGTCGCTTATTTTCAGGATACTCTGGCGTCTGACCTGCTGCTCTGCTTCATGAGTGATTTAAAAACCGGCGCTGGGTCCACTGTTGCTCTCGGGGTGAGTCACTCTGAAGAAAAGTGCATCAGCTAAATGCGTGTATATAAATGTAAATGCGTGTACTGGGTGTGTACGCTCTTCAGAGATTGACTAGTGCATGTGATACAATGGTGCCCTTCAAACTGCAAGGACATGGGAGATATTGAAAGTGCAGCCTTTTCAAAGATTGATACATAATAGCGGGACTTCACATTCGTCATCGGTCACGTCTCTCAGCATTGTGAGCTGTCCTTTTCAGGATAAGTAACGTACAATAATATATATTTTTAAGGTTTAAGTCAAGCTGTGGAACCCTCTTTGTATAATCGGTTATTCATAAAAGTACAAAGATGGCTATTTCTATGGTGAGTGTAGGCGGTTACGCTATGAATGTGTCACCCAGCAGTGCCTAACAATGGGTTTTATTTTTCAACCAGTATCTTTACTTGAAAGAATAGCCATCTCATCAGCTAAACCACTG